CATATGGTCCTTTGGCCTCTGGCCTGCTCAGTCAAGCATCATTGAAAGCCCTGGTGGTGCAGTGGTAACGAATTGGACTGCTAACCACAAGATCAGAAGTTCAAAACCACCAGCCACTCCACAGGAGAAAGATGAGACTTTCCAGCCCTGTAAGAATTAAGAGTCTTGAAAACCCATAGGGGCAGTTCTACCATGATCTGAGGTTGTTTTCAGTGGGATTCGATTTGATGGCAGTGAATGAAAAAAAGTAAGAAAGCAGTATTTTTAGGTGCCTTTGAGTCAGCTCTAACTCATCCCAACTCCACGTACAACACCGTGCAACACTGCCCTGCATCGTGGTCTCCTCACAATTGTTGTTCTGCTCCAGTCCACCCCTGTAGCCACGGTTTTAATCCATCCTGCCATCTTACGAAACACGATGCTCTTTCCAGGGACCAGTCTCTCCTGATAACATGCCTAAAGCACCCGAGACGAAGTCTCGCCAATCGTACTTCTAAGAAACATTTTGGCTGTGCTTCTTCGAAGACAGGATTTTTTTTGGGGGGGGGAAGGCTGTGGTCCTTTCGACATTCTTTACCAGCGCCATAATTCACAAGCTGCGGTTTTTCTTCAGTTTTCCATGTTCAATGCCCAACTTTGACAGGAGGTGGTTGAAAATAGCATGTCTTGGGGCCAGGAGCACCTTAATTCTCAATGTAACGTGTTTGCTTATCTGTACACACACACACACACACACACACACACGTGTGTGTGTGTGTGTGTGTGTGTGTGTGTGTGTCCGCACGCCATTTGATAATGGTGAAAGAGGATACAAGTCTTCAAACTTTGGTACCTGCCTCTGTGAGTATAAGTCTCATGAGGGTTGGGCCAGACGTAAGTGGCTCATCATTTCCTGCACTTGTGCCAGGCAATGGGCACTAGCTATGCTGTTTGCACAACCTAGAGAGGAAATAGAGCAATTCTATGCTATGCATAACGAATAACATTGGTCAAGGCCAACAGGGCACCCCAACGCTGCGAGCCACTCTCCTGCCGGGAGGCACTCCGTTTTATTCATTCTGTGCACGAGGAAGCTACCAGCCAACCTCAGGGTCTCAGGGCCGCTCCTCTGCGCTGCCTCAGCGTCTGCTTCCTCCTTCCCCTCACAGGCGGGGAGCTCCCTTGCACTTTGTTGACAGTCTTGGGCTTCCTAGCTCCCGCTTCTTATTGGCCCCATCACTTGGTGGCCGTTACTAAGACTATGAATAGAAGAGCCATACAAGTAATTGTACTCTGCCACAATACTACACGCACACCCTGGCCATCCTTCCCCATAACAGCGCCGTTATTTTCCTTATATTCAGAAAGAACAAAAGATGAGGGGATGTCAAGAATTCTGCAGAAAAATTCCACTATCCTTTCAATCCACTTTTCCACTCACTTTCTGAAGTCCCTTCATACGGTGCTGCGATGTTTACATCGATATTCCTACAGTCAAATACTATACAGATATTACAGTTATGATACAGCTTTGTTTTGTTCCTCAACTACTTCTTCCCTCTCCATCCAACTAGGGGAGGTTCTATCTCGGCCCTGCTTTTCTTGGGGAGCTCTACGAACGGTCAG